TACAAGCCACAATCTCCATGAAGTCACTTCCTCTTTACTGCCTCGCTTCACTGACTCCCACTGGTGGCTCACTCTCTACAGCAGATGCTTGAACACAAAAACGTGCAACGAGCTGTACACACACCAGGTCTGAAAACAACACTTTGATGCACTGAGGACACTGCATGAAAATAAATTCAGGGTACACTTTCGCCATAATGGGAAACCAACCAAGTGATGCACTGATGCTGGCTTGTATAATGCTGATTCATATATTGTTTAAAGAAAAATAGTTTCATCTTGAGCATGTTGAAGTTGTCTTACAGATTCCCTACAATCTCAGTTGCTGTTCTATAATTTTGTCTGCATAATTACAAAGAAAAGCAGAAGGAAGCAAGAGTTCACAAAGAAAAACTTGGATTTTTTTAGTGTATTTGGGACATGGTGAGAAGAGACTGACTGAATAAAATTCAATCTACCGTGGACAGAGACATGGAACTAGAAGCCAAAGCTAACAACCAATTAGAGACAAGTGTCAGACTCTTCTCAGCTGAACAGCTCAGAGAGCAGCAAGCACAGTAGGTCTCTTGAGGCACATTTAAGGCCTTTTAGAGACTCGCTGTATGGGTGTCCTTGCTGTAAGAAAGCTAACAACTTTATCAGTGTAATATTACAGAAACAACCCAAACACCTGTGTTTGCTTAATAGACAAAGTCCTCAGGTGGCTTTGTCTTGGATATTTGCACTACATGGCAGGCTGATTGACAGCTACTGGGTTCTAAGTACGTATCTCTTTATTTTTTTCCTCTCACAAATTAAAGGAAGGGACTCCTAAACAAAACCCTAGACTTTTAATTACACATCAAAGGAGAAGAACAATGAAGAACATAAGCAATGACCAAAATTTGAACTCTGGGGGCCTCTTAGGACCTTGGCAACTGCCCACTCCACAGATTCGTAAGTGATCTCTATCTCATCCGATAACAGATCTACTGTAGTCTCTTCTCAATAATGAGCAAACATATTGGCTACTTATAAAAAAAATATCTTGCTGCATGAGGTCAAGGAAAATATTTTGTAATTCCTATCAAGACACAAATAAATGTTTGCTTTTTTTTGCTCTTATTTCTGGTTTATTTACCAGCCTCTTCAGCATTCGGTCCTTTCCAAATATTCGAAACGGCCCGATCCTCCAGAGCTACTTCTGTTTCAATATTTCATAAGCTACAGTCAAATCTCTATGTTGGAATAATTAAACATCAGTTAGGCTACAAAATTACAAAGAATATATTACGGAGGCAGCTTATCAGTGAAGAGGGAGAAGTGAAGGAGAGCAGTGGGGCTCCTCAGAGATCAGAGGCTGCTCACTCAGACACTCGCAGGAATCTAATTCTGCCATTACAAAATTGTTTAGAAAGACTAATGATTTACTGCTTTAAATATCAGAGCAACTGCTGGTTGCAGTCTGAAGGAATGTCTGTGTTTAATAATCAGAGTAACAAACAGAGCATAGGAATATTTTTCACTCTTAAGTTTTGAGAAGTATGAAAAAAATCATAATTTGCTGATTTAAATGTACTTTGGAAAGACTGAATCAGAATTTAAATCACTTGAAGGGAGAAAGTCACCATCAGCAAAATATCGATTTCAGAATGTTTCCACAACCCCAAAACCACAGGAGGCTGTTGAAAAGAAAGTATGCATAATAATTTATCATCTAAATTCCCAGGAACTGTAATGCTGTAATCTAACTTTAAATCAGTGTGTGAGAACAGTTATCTGTTAAATACATTTATATTAAAAAGAAATACTTAAAGATAATAACCAGCATACCAGCATGCTAACTTATTCAAAAACCATTTTGATACCATTGTTTGATGAGCAATTACATTAATAACAGATATAAATATGTTTAGGTAAAGGAGACTCAGATTTACTGTAGGGTTGCATGTGGCGTTCCACCAGGTTGTCACCAAGGCCCCCTTGTTTTATAAGGCACTTATATGGTACTTTAGTCATAGGCTATGTGTAGCATATCTAATATACCCCTTTCACACTGGCCAAAAAACCTTAAACCCAGGAACAATTGGCTTTTAATGGCAGCGGGAACAGCTCACTGACGCATGTCTACCCGGTTCAAACAACTTGGCAAGGGACCCGCCTTGAAATCAGCACAGCTGTGATTGGCATGCTGTGGGAACAGCAGACCCAATGACACCATTGATTGCAACATACAGACATCAACACACCACGCCAGTCACGTCTGATCTAACAAGCTGAAACAAGTCTGTTTATATTCATTAAACATGGTGCAGCTCTGTTAAGAGGGATTCGGAAAGATAAAACAACGAAATAATTCAGAATACTAACTGTGCTCTGGCTCCCATCCATATTCGTCTCCATTATTTACTTCCCTGATTTCCGTCGCACTGTTGACATTATCAATGCTCACACAGCCTGATGCCGCCATCAAACAAGCAGCGGTGGGGGACAGTGGGCAAGCAGGTTACTCGCAGGTTCTCAGACTCGGCTTTTCGGTCAAATGAGAAAAGAGCCAAAAGCCGATTGTTAGCGGGTCAACCCGTTTTTGAAATCCCAGGTTTTCAGCGGGAAAGCGGCTTTAGACTAAAACCGTCTTCTCTGTTGCTCTATATCGCTTTTGGAAACGTTTAAAAAGGCTTCTGTGAGTAGAACAAAAATGGAATGCATTGTTTAAAAGAAACAAATTAATAGAAAACGATTTGTAGCTTTCGGATTTACACAGTACACTGGCATCTTTTAGTTCAAATCTCACTTGTCACCTGGGGTGTCATGCACATGAACTTAAGAAAAGTTGCATGTGAAAGTTTAAATGACTTGATATGGTAAGTAGTGAATAAGGACATTGGTAAACCACTCAACAATAAAAAAAAATCATTCATATTCATTTGTGATAGGCAAATAAGACTCTAAGTCTTACTAAAACTTAGTACTAATACCTAATAATCACCTTTAACAATGCAAGGCAACAATCTAAGTTGTGATCCTACTGTGCAGCTGTAGGTTACCTTTAGACCACGACTCAAATTACATTTAATAAATAAATGAATTAAATCAAGTTGAAACTGGCTTGCCAACTTCATTAAGACAGGAAAACCTGCTTGAACTTCTCTTTACCCAGTTTTGAAAATAAAATGACAAAGAATTTATATACCGATGTCATGAGTCTACTGAACACATGACATATGAGCCAGAAGCTTTGAGCATGAAAACACAAAGAAAAAAAAATCACCAGTCCTGATATGTTGTGATGTGAGCCTGCAGGAAATTATTGGATAGGTTTGGATGCATGACTATTGACAATAACACACAAGAAGTGCAATGAGACATGCGTAATGCATCAAAGACTTAAAAGGCCAAAATAAGGCTAGCAAGGGTGCTTGGAGAGCAAACAGGGGATGTTCTGCTCATGCTTAAAAGCCCATGTGAACAAGGTAACGCATTGAAAGGATGGCCATCTCTGAAAATACTGAGTGGGAAAAGAGAAACTGAACGCCTAAATATCAAGCTTCATTAGATTATTGTATTGGAGATGAAGCATATATTTGGCCTTATAACTACTGCTCTACTGCAATGTTTTCAAGGTGACAGGATAATTAATGCAGCAGCATCCTCACCCACAGTTACAGAAATCCTGATGTTCAAAGCAAGAAACTAAACCCAGTGAGGTCTCAGCATTTTCTAAGAGTTTTTTTCTGATACAAGTATACCAAGCAGTAATAGAAACTTTAAACCCACCTTGTCATTACAAATAAGGTTGGAAACACCAAACTGTTTGATAAGATACTAAAAGATTTAAACTTTCTATCAATCAATTAAGATTACATGACTATTCCTATTTCTGTGTTCATGTAGGGCAGTGGAATGTAACTGTGTATCATGGAAATGTCATTATGGGAAATATCACCATCACAGTTATACAATGATGCAGTATTGAGGTTGCTGTATTTCTATTGCCGTTGATACGTTGGATCACCTTTCTATAATTTCTGAGAGGGAAGCTCTTTCCGGATTTTAAAAGCAATAATAAAGAATCTTAATTTAACAAAATCCATCCATCCAATCCATCAGTATCGCAATGATGGAAATGGAATTGAAAGCTGAGGGAAAACTGGGTTAAATGCAACCTGTGTTATATGCAAAATTTGATATGTTGAAGTTTTCTTATCATGAAACTTTAGTAAGATTTCTACTTAAACTAGTGCAAAAATTATGTTTATTAATTTTCAGACTGTATATAGTGACTAGGTTCTTATTTTCAATCTTTTTTATATATATTTTTGGAATTCAAGACCATCAAAGTGGAATCCCTCAATGAATGGTGCAGTTATTTGCAGTAAGCCACATATATGAAACAGCAAGAGACAATAATTAATGCAAATTTGGATACAATTAGAAACACTTCCAGCAAAATAAACAAAACCTTTTATCTTTATATTGAATTGCTAGAGTTCTTATTCAACAGTTTATCAGGAAGCACTGCTCCTCCTCCTGCTATGAAGATTTGAGTTTGATAAGCAAACAAACAAATAACCATCCCACTGGTGATGGGTCAGCAACTTCAAGTGATCAATCTGTGCAGCACAGCGTCTAACCTTCCCAGCAGCAATCCAAAAGGGAAACACTGTAGTTGCATGCAGGAGGGGGGGGGGGGGGGGGGGTGTAAAAGTACAGTGGCTGCAAGAAGGAGGGGATGAAAGAGCCGCTCTTCTAATCTCACACCGCGCCGCTAAATGTAACAAGCAGCGGAAGCGGCGCTTTTCTCCGGCTTAACTACAGGTTCATAAACATTTGGTTGACCCACAAAGTCCGAAACAAGCCGCATATGCCTCCCTCTTCCAGCCTGCTTTCCTTCAGTTAGGAAGAAGGAAAAATCCCTACAGCTTCTTCCCTCAGTTGAAACAACCGGTCCGGAGATCTAACCCCCCTGACTAAAACAAAACAAAAAAAAACTGGCAGCGTGTTTGTATTTCAGCACTTACCTCTATTTGGGCAAGATGTTCACATTAGAGGCAAGGGGCGCGCAGAGAGGGGAGCGGGGTATCCAACAGTGTTAAACTTGTCCCGTTAAAAAGGAAACGGCATTACTGGCGAGGAAAGCTCAGAGTGTGCGTGTCCGTGTGTGTGTGCGTGTCTGCAGGGTCCCTGCCTGCCTCTCCTCGCTTCAAGTCACTCCTAGGAGGCGGGGCTGAGAGGGAGGAGGGGACCGAGGAGCGGCTGCAGCTCAGAGAGGGACAGGAGCGCACCTAGAGGGGGCCATCAGAGGACCCCAGCTAGAAAACTTCACCCTTTATAAATATCAGTCGAGTCTAAAGTTAACACATTCGTTACTTAAGTAGAAGTATAGATATTGCAATTTAAAAACACTCTGGTAAAAGTTGAAGTATCAACTTGACCTTTTTAATCAGGTAAAAGTGAAAAAGTATGTGCTCAAAAAAATACTTAAAGTATAAAAGTATAAAGTAACATAAAAAAGCACCCAAATGCCACTTTATGAATTGAAAGCTCAGTTTTTCAACTGTTTCAAAAAATTATTTGAGATAGGGCCAAGGAAAAGTGAGGTCTTGTTTGTCTCTGTCTCCATCTTCCAAAACTGTCATGGTCTTGGTTCTGTTGTGCTTTATTTTGTTTCATGTTTTCCAGTTTTTTTTTTTTTTGTTTAATTCCTATTTTGTTGTTGTTTCTAGATTTATGTTAGTTCTCAGGTTTTTCTGTTGTTTTCTTCTGTTGCCCTCTTGTGTGTGTACCTTTCCCCTTGGCTTCCTCATTGTCTCCACTCACACCTGCTCCTTATCTGCTCGTTAGCCCCACCTTTGTCTCAGTCAGCTATATATTCTCTCCCTCTGCTGTCACTTCTTGTTGGTTCCTTGTCATTGCTGGCTTCTCATGCTGTTGTATTCCTACCTCGTCTCTCTCTGGCTCCTCGTGTTTGGTTTCCCCTGATGTCTCCATGGTTCTGGTTTGCTTTACACTTTTAGTTGGATTTTTGGATTCCTGCCTTTGTTTACTGTTTTCATCATCAAACTGCAAGAAATCTCAGCCTCTCTGCCTCTGCATTTGGGTCCTGACAGAAACGTGACAGAAACGCTCTCGCCTGGTTCCGACCTTTCAGACATGTCAGCATCTTTTTCTGAATCCGACATTGTAGAATGGCATAGACAATTCATGTTTGCAGTTTGAAGAACACTTCTGAGGATTTCCTTTAGCTAACCAAGGAGTGTTTGCATTATGACTCATCCAATGACACTAGTTTTAACTAGATGTGGATGAAGCTAATGATCTGCATTGGATGCCGCACAGGACGGGAAATAAATATTTATAAACATTAAACGAAAGCCAAGAGTAATGAGTAATGATTGTTTTAAAAATGTAAGGAATAGAAAGTACAGATACTTGTGTGAAAATATAATGACTAGAAGTCAGAAGTAGGAAGAAAAATAAGTAATGGAGTAAAGTATAAATACCTAAAAAGAGTACTTAAGTACAGTAACAAAGTATTTGTACTTTGTTTCTTCGTTACACCTCTGTAAATAGCCTTGTCTATGGAAGAAGATTAGGGCCACTGAAAAAAAAAAAGGTTAACTGATTTTTAAATATTATTTCCGTTTAACATGGGAAAAAGTCATAATTCTGACATTAATCTCAGAATTCTGACTTTAATCTCAGAATTGTGGATCTTAATGTAGATGGGCACCATGAAGGAAGAGATGTGGGAGCACTCAGCTTCACTGACAAAGATGTGAGTTGTTTGAGAGGGCCAGTAACACATTGGTGGAAAACGGTGGAATTAGGCAACTTTTTTACGTGCCCGAGGGGTCCCAGTTGATGCTATTTAATTAATAGAAGAGCAAAAGGTGATCAAAACAAGAGAGCTAATTTAGTCTCTAAAACAAACATGGCTACGGCCTGATTCTGACATGCTTGTTAGCTGTCAGAATTCAGTCAGAATTCTAAGATTAAAGTCAGAATTCTGAGTTTTTTCTCATATTATACTGAAATAAAATTAAAAAAATCAGTTAACTTGTTTTATTTTTTCAGTTGCCCAGATCCTCTTCCATACTTATCAAGGGTGTAACTTTGTAATGGAAGTTGGTGGGGACACTCTAAGGGTGACGGCTGATGGATCTAAAGTTACTCAACACAAACACTTTCAATAGGGTTTGTATTTTCCAAAAATGAGCTCAAACATATATCTATTGAATGCTTTCCTATCGTTGAGAACACAAAATAACCAAAATACAATGATATTTATATTAATAGGTAGTTAGACATTAATGTATAAAAAAAGGATAACAGCCGATTCCGATGCCAAAAGCAATACATCATGCCTTCCTAGTATGGAAACAATTTCCGTTTCATTCATCCATCTATCCATCCAGAAAAATGTGGATTGATTGATGGATGTTTTCCCTTTCAGCTACATCAGTGATTATCTTCCTTTAAAAGCAACAAAATCAACTTTGTCCCACATATTGTCTAGAGCAAAATGCTATGTATTGGAATTATTTGTGAGGACATGTCCACACAAGTCCTTCAGAAAGTTAAGCCTGTGCCTTAAAAGAACCTTATTGTAATTTTTGTATACACCGAGTGTATACAAAACAAGATTATGTTGCTTACAGCTTCCACTGAAATGAACATTAGCATTTAAATTGCAGCAGTGATCCTCATGTAAATAGTTATGGAGAAAAGCAAAACCAGTAAAAAAAAATCTATAAATAATGGTGCAAAACATTCTTTGAACATAAAATAAAAGTCAAATAAAAAATGCATTCATTTCATAGTTCAACTTACAGTTTAAAGCAGGAGTGACTGGAGGTGTTTGGCAGTGTCACTTGGTGTTTTCACAGCTTTTTGTGTGTCTAAAATAGAGGCTGCTGTTCTCTATACCTAAATTTAACCTTTTTTTTTCTGTTGTACAATGTTTACTCTGAAAGTCAAAGTGAGTTTTTATTATTCGTCAATATTTAAATCTAAGGGAATGTGTCTCAGTTGATTACTTAGCTTAGAGGAGCAACTCCTCCTAATTTCTAATTCAGTATAAGAAAGAAGAACATTTGAGATGTGGAAAAAATGAACTCATGATCACTATCCAATCAATAAACATCTTCCAGAAGTTTCTGATAGATTAAAAAGTATTAAACTGGTGCTCAAAGGAGTGCCTTCTTAAGGAGCTACCGAGAGAAATTAAAGCTGTTTATCGTATTAAAAAATAAAGCTGTCTTTTCTGATTTGAATTTAATTGACAGTTCATTTGTAGTGGAAAAAAAGTTAGAAAAAAAGTCAGTGGTCCTTGGACCTGTGATAACTGCAATAAGCTTAGGACTGGTTTTTGTTGTTGTGTTTTTGTGTTCTTATTATATTGTATGCCTGTTGTTTTAGTCCTACACCCTTAATTGTCCAATGATCATTATAATACTGTTCTTTAAATTCAGTTGTGGGATTTACTGTAGGTGTGCCCATGCCAGAATATCAGTATCCCTAAACTAGCTATTTATAGATTTTTGGAAGGGTGCACATGCTTTGTTTCTTTCCATCTGGGCAGTGCACGCAATGAGAAGTGCTTAAAGATGTAGCACGAGTGGGGAGACAATTTTCACAAACAAAAGGACAAGAGAGATAGAGAGCCTAAGACAGTTTGGTTATGTGCAGATGACAGATGCAGTCTAAAAAAATAGACACTACTTTAAGTATAGAGTTGGCAGTGTTGTTATAGCCATAAAAGAAGAAACTAAAGCAAAGGAACCAATGTATAATGTTACTTAATGTTACTTGGGTTAAGATTTTTGGGTAAGGGAGCAAGGTTGCAGGCAGGGCACACATCTTGTTTTAGTCTGCAGGTAGTGCTTATCAGCCCACTAAGTGGTTGAATTAAATTTATCACTCCTTTCAGTATCAAAAAACCACAAAAGGACAGCTACAGTCCCAGAAAAGTATGGGCCTACTAGTTACAAAGCAGTGGAGTGCACACCCAGTATACATGCAGTGTTTAGAAATAGAATGCACCAAGATCAACACACTTAATTTAAAAATGTGACAGGGCTGATGTTTAACAAAATCCTTTTAATTTCTCCCAATTTATTTACTTTCTAATGTCTGTTTCTCAAAGCATACATGGCAAGTTATGAAAAAAGTGTGACATGAGCTTAATAAGGATGGATTTTGAGCCTTATGACCGACGTTTAGTCATTGGCAAAGTGTTCCAGGTGTTTTTCCAACATGGATCTTGTGCTCTCAAGTTGAAGTGGAACACTTCACAAAAAGGCACAATGTTAGCTTAAAGCCAACAGTTTTGCAAAACATCTTAACCACAGTGTAATGAGTGACTACTGGCTTGAGAACCCTCTGATTAACTGTTCTATAGAATGCCACAGAAAGAACGATTTGGCTTTCATAATGGTTGTTGTGACATCCAGCTGTTTTCTAAAGAAAAATGCTGTTCTATTTCTGCAATTTCCTCAAATGTCTCGAAGAAAAAAATGCATAAAAGCATAAAAAGTACATTCACCAAACAAACTAGTTATTAAGATGAAAAAGGTCAATTTCAGTATTGGGAAGGTTAAAAAAATACTGACAAAGTCAAATGTCTTTTTTGTCTTCTTATCAACCATCTTTTTGTAGCTATGCATCAAATTCTGATGAAGTGTTAAGCCTTAAACCAGTTGGTATGAAAAAAAAAACACTAATGTTTATTTTGTATAGAAAATCCACAGAGGAATGCATATTTCAGCTACAAATTCTAGCTTAGTAAAGCTTCTTTTTCATTTTTCCCAGTTTTTCACTGTTGTAAAATTATCAGGATCCATAATATAATAATATATTGCTTTGGACTCCAGACCTTATGTCATGGGCTAAGATATTTTTTTCATTAGGGAGAGAAATCTCTGATCAAGAAAAAAAATGGACTTCCTCCAGAAGAAGATCATTTTTTTTCTTAGTTATTGTACATTCATTGTCCTAATGCTACGACGGAGTATTAGGGCCACACATGAAGAGAAAAAATATTTTTGCCATGACGAGATTAAACTCGACATGTTGACTTTAAAGTCAACATGTCGACATTAAACTCAACATTTCGAGAATAAAGTTGAAATGACTGACATTTTCTCAAATTCAGAACTGCGAGCCTGGGTAAGCATAGGGAAAGACG